ATGGGGGAAGGGAAAAGTGGGACAAGAAACCAAAGTCCCTCAGATGTCCACTATGTTTTTCCATCAGAACAGCAATCAGAAAAAAGCTTTGGACCCAGCAATGGAACCATCTTTTAATCAAACTAGATTTAAATTAGCTGTGCTGAGGAAACTCCACAACACAATGCAGGATCATATGCAGCCTGGTGGAGCTCAGCAAATTGAAACACGCTGAATTAGCAGTAAATTTTCTGTCCAAAGAAATTTTACAGGCCAGATCATTGCCTCTGCTATGATCTGAGTCTGCCCTACACCAATTGTTAGGCCAAGGAAAGGGAGAGGAGCAAGCACGTACTTGCTTCGTCAGTGCTCTGACTGCACATAGGCTATGCCAGTTAGGGCAGCTGAGCTCCAGCGTACGTTGGCCAGAGAAATCAAGAATATGTTTTCCTCATCCCTCACTTACTCTGTCCTATGCAGAGCTTTGGTACAGAGAGGTGTTTCACCTGGCATGCATGCTCCAGAAGCATGATTTGTTCAAAAGTTAAGCTCTAATACCCAGTGCATGTGGACAGGCGAAATAATGGCAAGTCACGCTTCTAGTTGAGACACTGTGTTATAACAATTGTCCAGTACAGTGTTCTCCAGTGTTGCTCTAACATCCTTAAAACCAACTCTTGCTCTATTTCACATTGCTTTATATGCAGAAGGGACCAACAGGACTTGCCAGGAGAAAACATGGATGGAGACAGAACTTCAGAAACCTTCTGCATGTTTGGGTTTTTCTTCTGAATTTCCAGTGAGAAGTAACAGGACTTGCTTTATATGCAGAAGGGACATCCAGGAGGAAACATGGATGGAGACAGAACTTCAGAAACCTTCTGCATGTTTGGGTTTTTCTTCTGAATTTCCAGTGAGAAGTAGAAGTAAACTGCAGAGTATGTTCCTGTGCAGCTATTCCTAGGAAAGGTCACTAGCAATGGCAATATCCGTGGTTATTCTGCAAATGAGCATTGGCTCCTTTACTTCTGTGCTCTCTCTTTAGTTTTGATCATGGCATCTTCACAGCTGTCCTTTTTCATTCTCTTTTTCACTTTCAAAACAATTCAGTTCCCTTTTTCAGATAACTTTTAAGGCCATCTCTTTGACTCTGATGAGCTATACGTGACCTCTATTCTGACTGCCCTGTCCCTGCTTCCTCTTACCCTGGACCATTGGGATCACAGCCAAAGCAGCCAAGGATTAATTACAGAGCTCTACAAGAAATAAGACCCTTCGTACCAGGATTATTGATGAAAACCCAAAACATTTTGACTGCTTACAGCACCAGGGCCTGATCCTGTCAGCAAGTCACATGCAGACCTCCTGCTAGCTCTATGCATGTTCTACAGGCAGGCAGCTGGGAACAGCCAGGCCCTCTCAGAAGTGTCTAACAGATCTGCACAGGACTATGAATTATGCATACTGACATGTGATTTTCCACATGTAACGCAAACTCAGCCTGACTGCTGAAGCATTGCAGTAGTTGAAGGAACGTATTTCTCAGATCCTTTCCCAGACTTTTATGATTCAGGGTAGTTAACTGGAAATGCAAAAGCCAGCTGAGTCGCTGGGTGGCTGCTCATATGGAATTCTGATGCATCAGTAAAGGAGGGAGAAGTCATCTTGTAGCACACTGTGTGCTATCAAAGGCATGCTGGGCAGTAACGCTAATTGCATTATGCTGTGTTCAAACAAAAATGTTTGAAAGCAGTTCTGTTGAGCTTTGTGAATATATGCATAGAGCTTGTGTATGTGACTGTTGCAGTAAAGTGAAAATGTCTCCCAATAACAAAAAAAGAGAAAGAAAAAAAAGAAATATGTCATTAGTATCTCACAGGAGATTTTCCCTCCAGTTTGTAACCAGTAATATCCTCCACTCACTTCCCCTGTAAGACATTTTCAAAGATGTCATTTCTTGATCACAAAACAAATCATGACAGCAAAAAAACCCCCAACCAGAACAAGACACTCTATTGCACATGCTGCATCTCAAGGGAAAGGATGAGACAATAAGCAGCATGTAACAGATGTTATTCACGTTGCTTCATGCACTGTTGGAAGGCTCAGACACTGTAGTTCTGAGCATGGTGAAAGAGCCCATAGACACAGAGTAGGGTCACTAACAACATATTTTATTTAGGAAGAGAGAAAAAATTAATTTATTATTTATACATTCATAGACAAGATCTTAACAAAAGTAATAATCTTGAATCTTTACACTCCACTGCAGCTCTTACAAGATCTTCCAGGAATAAAGAAATTAGTAAAGATTTCAGAGCATTTAAAGTTTCTGAACTAAGAAATATATATGCTAAATGTAGCATCTTATAAGGACTGTCTGGATCTGTGCTAGCTTTGAATCATGGGGTTTCAAGGGAATTTTTTATTATAGTTTTGGCTCCAATGTACTAACACCATGTGGGTTTTTGCTTTAAGTTCTGGGTTTGAATGGACCAAGTACTTCAAAGCAAGACTCTAAATCAGGAAAATGCGGTGAGTTTCATATGCTTTCCACTCAAAACCATACCTTGGCCCAGATTCCTGTACAACGGAGCCCAGCCTCACTTGAAACTCAGCCCACATTTGTTGAAAGCGTTTACAAATCCCATCAAAACTGGCCCAAGTTTCAAGTTTGTAATAAAATCCAAATTCAAAAGTCCTTCTTGGCTACAAATTACTCTCTGTTCTAGTAATTCCTACTTGTTTCCATTAAAAGGAAAAAAAAAAGGTCTCATTCATGCTGATTTCTTCCTGTTGCACTGACAAACCTGGAATAATTCCATTAACTCATCAATATTGTTTTAGATTTGCACCAGGATAGGTGTGAGCAGGTTGAGCAGAGGTCTGATTAAGACAAAAGTGGGAAGTTGGGTATACTCCAAGGCCACAATTCCTAAAAGCAGCACGTGCCTTTCTGTTGAAGTTAACAACATGCAATTGCAGCCTGTAGGATAACTTAGGTACAAGCAAATATTTCTGGCTATGCCAGAAATGAATGGCACTTGCAGTGTCTCAGCATGGTGCTGTGCCAAAAGGCAATATCCATCTTTCTGAACCCAGGCTGTGTCAGCTCCCCATGCTGCCTACCTTCCCCACTCCCTCTTGCCCTTTCTGCCAACACAGACCTCTGTACGATGACCAGGGGACCAGGCTCGAGGACTGTCATCTGTTTCCACCTGTGCCCACGCCTTGAAACCAAGCAAGACTTGAAGCAATAACACTGACTAAGAAGATGGTTCTGGAACATGCAGCCGGGGACACCAGCAAGGGTGGGAGCACTGGAGTCTGGATTTAGAGTTACTTAAACCACTGTGAAACTATCCCTGGGCTTGCAGAAATAGGATTGTGTAAGTACTACGCTTCTGCATTTGCCAGGATCTACTATCTCACTGTACATCACGGATTTGCAGGGTGATATTGTCATCTATTAATGTTATTATATGTCATTCAACATGAAGAATGATATCACTGATACACCTATTACCTGACCCATCACTGGATCTTATTGTCTGAAAAAAGCCCACCACAAACAAAAAAAAAGCCTGCAGTTATTGCTGCCCAGTCTCCAAACCATAGCAGGAGGCTATCCCATGGTCACATTTCAGTAAGAACAAGACAGAAAGCTGAAGCTGACAGTCAGAAGTCACGGTTTTTGTAAGCACTGATTTTCCAGATCTTTGGGGCTTCTGGAGTGGGTTCAGTCCGTGAAGCTTTTCCCATACAGAAAGAAAAATCTACACTGCAATATTATGTCTGCCACCTGATTTGAGACTGGAAGTTCTGCAAGGGCCATTCCCCTTGCAGGGATGTAATAGGGAAAGTAAAATGCAGCAGCAGACAGATTTTTGCTCTGGATGCTTAGACCAGTTATTCTTTTTGCACTTCCCCTGTCAGGAATCCTCAGAACTCACCCTGCTCCTGTGGCATTACTGCAAGTGGAGGCCAGGCTTGCAGCATTCTGCCTCGCAAAACCAGTCCCTTTGGCTCTGTTTCTCATTCTTTCCTCTTCTCTGGGGAGAAGAGGCAGCTAACTGAGATATAGACTGGGGAATCAGAAATCTACATTTTTGAATGAGCCTCTTTCAAAAGGCAGGTTTACTCCTTTGCAACCTTTCCCATCACCCTTTGTTACCCTGAGCCATCAATGTGTCGTGAAAAAGCCTTCAGCCCCAAGCAGAGCCTTCTGATCATGACAGAAATATGTCCTAGCCCTGGCAGGACTCCTCATAGGCTCCTGCAGCTTGCTTTCTTATCATTCAGAGGCAATCCAGAGGCAGCTTTGAGCAGCTCCACCCCACCTGCGGCTTCTCTCACCCCTCCTTTCCCTGAGCCTCTTCCCCTGGAGAAACGCGGAGGGCTGGGAAACGGCTACCTGGGGCCCTGAGCCGTGAAGAGGTGTGATGGAGCGCAGGGAAAACAAAGTGAACGCCATGAGAAGGCCGTCCCCCGCTTGCCCCCCTTCCCCAGGCGGGCCCACCAGAAGCGGCCGGAGCGGGAGCCGCAGCCGGGCCACAGGGCTGTTTGATTGCCTAAGCCTGGTGGCCAGACAATAGGACCAGAAAGAATGGCTGCTTCCTTCCTTCCTGTCGAGTGTTCTGCCTGAGTGAGCAAATTCAATAGCACTTCGCTTCGCAGCAACACCAGGCTCTCTCGCACAGGCGAAAATCAACAAAAGAGCCATTCTCGGGCATTTCCAACTGCACCTAAGCCAAGGCACTGAGCTGTGGAGCCATCCGGCCTGGGGAGGGGAGCCACGCAGACACTGCTCTTGGGTGTGCGGCCAGGCACAGTAAACATCCAGGTTATTCTTTATGGTGAAGGACTGCCTTTTTTTTTTTTTTTGGTTTTTTTTTTTTTGTTTTTTTTTAATTGTTTATTTTATTTTGTTTTGTGGGGTTTTTAGTACTTTCCTGAAGATTTCGCTGCTGCTTTAAACCCCTCCAAGACAGGCTGGTTGAAGGGTGCAAGGAGGTATTCAGGCATAACTAAACTAGGTGAAGGTGACACAAGAGTCGCTGTGTAGAAAACTTGCTGCTTTCTGCAGACTCAAGTGATCACACATTTAAATCACAGAGTGGCTGAAAATAAAATAGGTGTCAGTGAATGAAAATATTTGACAAAAGCAGGCAAGCAGATGACCAAGACTTATGCTCAGGTGGGTATAAACTGAAACACCAGTCCCTATAAATTTCATAAATAAGAAAGATAACAATTATGTGTTGCAGTTTTTATTTGTATAAGGCTCTTTTTTGTCTTCCAGATCCCATTCAGTGCTGTGCCAAAATAAGAAGGGACATCGTGTTGCTAAGAAGACAAGGACCTAGAATGTGCACATCCAAAGCTGACAGTCAGAAGTCATGGTTTTTGTAAGCACTGATTTTCTAGATCTCTGGGGCTTCTGGAGTGGTTCAGTCCATGAAGTATGAAGCTTTTCCCATACAGAAATAATCTCTGTACATCACTTTGCAGCACAACAATCAGCATTGAGGAATTCCTGTGCATGTGCAGTAAGGCATCTCCCCTTGCACTTGCATGGCATAGGACAGGATACTGAGGGACGTATTCTTGTGAACATCTGCGTTTGTTGATTCAGTGTGTGTGGGAAGAGGAAGGGGGAAGCACAGAAAGCATCTCAAAAAAAGAAAAGTTTACATGGAATTTTTGGAGTGATCTGTCTTTCTGTTAAAAAGCTAGTTTTTTTCTTTTGAAACAAGCAGAGTAAGATTTTGCACTTGCCTGCTGCATCTGTTTTCTCAAGCAAAGACCTGTTTGTTTTTCCCATTGTGTGTGAACCATATTTGAAACAGACCACTGAGCCAAGTTACATCAAGTCTGTTTCTTTTCTACTTCTGAACTATGACAGATTATCCTAACCCATCTGCAGGCATGATTAAAAATATGAAAATAATTTTTACTTTTCTTTTGAACTGCCTTTGATATAGTATTTGCTGTCAGATAATCTATAGAATTTTAACATCTGGTAATGCAAAATGGTATGTTATTGCAGCTGAAGAAAGAACTATTTAGAAATTTTTATAGCAATTTTTTTTGTGGCATCCAAGATTGCAATTGTGGCTTCAGTTTACAATAAACTTGTGGTCATACAATTATGACTAAATTATTCATTTTTATGCATCAGAACATAGTCTATAACGCAAAGGAAAGAAAACCCAAGTCCAGCACAGAGGATTTTTATTAAGATAAAGATCCTGCTTACATGATTGGGATAAGTGATATTCAAATATGTCATCACCCAATCTTAGGAAACTAGCTCAGACAACTTTCTATTAAGCAATAACCTATAAGTGACAAAACAATATCTGTTTCAGTCATTGCACAGTGAAGTCTAGATTACTGTAGTTGAAAGATTTTTCTCTTTCTCCAAGAGCATTCAGAAGAAGCATGCAGAGAAAAAAACCACAATCAAAGTAGGAGAGATGTGTAGACTTTCACCTTCTAGAAGCTGAAATCAATGGGAACTCGTACAATTTATAGATAGAACTGATCTAGTTGTAAGCATTAATGTTCACGGTCTCTTTCCCCACAGAAAAATAGTCACTGACTCAGCAAAAGAAAAAGCTCATGACACTGGGCAGTTGGTTTACTCCTAACAAAAGTAGTAACCTAAGAGGATGTGGTATGCAATGTATGTTTTTTAACCTAATTCAGGCAGTCTCTCTAAGAAAGCAGTCTACTATTGCTTGTCCTGTAGAAAATAATTTGCAATTAAGGACAGAGAAACTGATTAAGATCAAAGACCACCACCACCAGACTGTATTCTGATTGCCCCAAATCTGGTATTTGTACAAATTTCATTTATGCTGCCCCTTACTCGATATCCTCTGGAAGCGATATGCAGAGGTAGGTGCCTTCCCCACTCCCTTCAATTGGAAGTGTGATTTGCCATAAGATTTCAGAGACAAGTCTGAAGATTCCATACATTCAGGTATGTCACATTAATTCTGAGGTCAAAGCCAAACAAGCTATCAGATTCTAGCATCTGTGAAGGTGGTTGCTGGCCATAGGGTGCTCATTATAACACAACCTCTTTTCTTGTAACACCTGTTCTCTTAAAGTAGTATTTTTTTTTAATTTCCATTGTAGTCAAGCTAGAGAGAGGTCAGATGAATCAGACACTGGTTAAACCAACAAAATTGAGATAATTTTTGACAGCTATATAACCTCCCACCTTCATTTTAGGAAGCTGCTTATACCTCTAGCTAATAAGACTTCCCACAAGATCCTTAGGAAAGTTGAGAGGATAACTACTTAGTGTATTTAGACTATATAAAAAATACTCTCATTAACCCTAGGCATCTGTATTGCTCACAGTCTTTTGATACGTTTATGTTCAGATTGTGAGTCTACCTGTAAGGTAGACTGATCCTTTTACAGGTGAGCAGCTGAGGCCCTGTGTTCACTGCCATGGGGAAGTATGGCAGCAGCAAGGACAAGCATGGCAGTGTTGGTAGCAGCGACCAGCTCAGGCACTCTGGCACTCATGGAAGTGCCTGAGCACTGACAAAGCAGCCTGGAATGCTCAAATCTGCCTGGGACCATCAGCATTTAACCCACATTGAAGCCATGACATTGTAGTGATTCCCATCTGCAATTCCCAATTTATAGCAAGTGGTTTGCTGAACCATATAAAACAAAGTTGTCACAATGGTGCTTTTGATCGAAATTTTTATAGGGGGCCAGAGTGGCCTTTGAAAACAGGGGCGGTTGACAGTGGTCTAGTGGTGCTGCTAAAAAGTTCAGGAATGCCGAACTTTAAGGTTAGGTTGTCTCACTGCAGTGCAAATATATGCTAAGTGACTTGCCCAAGGTCATTTGTATTATGATATCTATAGTAGAGCAGGCACTGAACACTGATTTTCCATAGCTGTGGTTAGTGCTCTAATCTCTGCTGTGAAAAGAAAAAAATATTTTCTAATCTGACTAAGTATGTTCAATTGTATCTTAGGCAAACTTTAACTGGCTATACAATATACATAAGTAGGCTAATAAGCATATCAGGAATCTCCATCTTTACTTCTTCCCTATGTGAACACTTGAATTGAAAGAGCAGTTTTTAATTTTTAATTTTAATTTACATCTTCTAATATTTTTGATGCAGACTCCAACACAGGAATTGAAATGGGACACACTTGTTCTCAAGTGAGAGGAATCATAAACAGGTTTGGACAGAAACAATTAATGACTTGACTTGAAATCACTTTTATTTCTCCCTACTGGAGAAATTTGCAGTGGTTAACTAAAGAAACAGTTTAAATTAATCTAGTCAAACTACTTTAAAGGTGGATGGAGGTGTGTTATGTATATTCAGAATAAACAGTTTACAGCAGTTTAACTGGGTCATTCCTGAAAAACTGTGCACATCTTTGTTCTATAGACAAAGTCTGCAATTATTGGTGTGGATATTTCTTTATAACCCAAATTTCAGAACTCGGAGGAGCTTTTCTCCTTCGGTTTATTTGCTGCTGTACCCCATGCAATCGTCACTGGCCTTACAGAGACTAATAAATAATAGGGCAGACCATCCTTCTCAAAGAGTTTAATGGCTTGTCCATATTGGCTTTACAGAGACTAATAAATAATGGGGCAGACCATCCTTCTCAAAGAGTTTAATGGCTTGTCCATATTGCTGATATGCTAATCAAAATTACAAATTGCAAAATTACTTATTATTACTGTAAGCAGTGTTCAGTGTGTTTTCCAAACAAGCTGACTTACTGATTCCAAATTATTTAGAGTATCTGAGAAACTAAAAATGCATGTAAATACATATGTTAAAGTTTTTCAAATGGAAGAAAACACTTTCACTAGATGGTTATATTTTCATTGGGTCTTATTGAAAGAGAATTTGAACAGTTAGAATAAATAATAATTTTGGAAATTGCCACTAAAGAAAACAAAAAAGTAATAAGAGCAGAAACAGCAGTCGTGTGGGGAATTTCACACAGGGTTTGTAAGAGTGTAAAGGAGCAGCCTTTTTCATACCAGAACTGTTGCGCAGACACCTGTGGAAACCTACACAGGGGGAATAGATGCTGTGGAGACTGCAGTAGTTCTGTAACAGTATGTCACAAGCTCAGAGAGTCGGGGAGACATAAGCAGGTAGGCTCCCTTTCATTTTTTTATGAGAAAATGAATCATGGTCACAAAATCTGAAGATCTAATATGCCTGTGCTTAATTGTATTGTGAGCAACTTATATCTGCAAAAGAAAAATGCCCCTTTTGCAAATCCACCTTTTGGGTGTGGAGTTGGTGTGAGAACTACTGTCATGCAATAATTCATGAAATGGAAAATGACTGCCTACACGCTTTGTTGCATCAGGCTCTTTGCATAGTTGTTGGTTTACAGTGTGACAAAGTGCAACAAGCTGATGTACCCAGCAGCATGAAGTGAAAGTGCTTCGCATTAAAAACTGTGAACAACCAAACCATTTTTAAATATAGGCAGAATCTATAATAAGCAGCAAAACGCCCATGCCTCTCATGGCTAATGAGAATTCCCATTTGTAATGGTCTGCCACATCCCTGGTTAATTAGAAACTAAATTGCTAACATCGCTAATTATTCATAATGACATTCTTTTACGTCTGTTAAATTAGTTATAAAAATGATTAGCATAAGAAATGCTAGGCTTTGAAATACTAGTCAATAAGTCAAAAAGCCTCTGTTTGCCTGTTTAATCTAATGAAAGGTATTTTATCTCACACGGCATCTCAGCACACAGGCAAAATTAACCCTGTGAAAGTAAAGGGTTTTATCAAACAAAGCAGAGCAGGGTTGCACTACTATAATTTACAGATTGTTTCCGCTAATAAATGTATTTCAGAATACTATACATACTTTGAATTAGCTATATAATTTTCAAGGGCACATATAATAATAATTTAAAAAAAGCTTTGAGAAAATGTGTGTCATGATTTAATGTATTAATAAAAAGATGACCCAACTGTCTCCCAGGCTTTCCAGATACTTGACTAACCTATTTGTTTAAAAGGTGTATATGAACAGGCAAGTTTTCACAGGGTGTCATTTTCCATATAATCAGGAGGGCTTTGTGCGAAATTGTATAAGAAAGCATTCAGGGTTAAAATTCAGCATGACTCTCCCCCAAACAACCCTTCCTGCACCTTCACCCCCACTCCCACTTAAACCCTTTTGGAGGTTCCTGCCCTCCCCTCCCTGTTCTCCTCTTAGAAGCAAACTCAGCACCATTAGCACACAAATGCAAAATAACTAGCCTAGGCCTCTTCCCAGGAATACAAATTAGGGGCAGGTAGTTGAAGAGCTTAGAAAGCTGAAATAGCGAAGTTCACAATGAAAAGGATGAATAGATGAGAGACTGAAAGTGGGGTAAAGTGTTCAGCTTTTGTCATTTAAAGTGATGTCTTTAACTCTTTGCCTTCATAAGGCTGCTCTTCACAAAAATAATAATGAATTGCAATTAAGACCTGAAGGACAAAAGGGAATTATGTGGGAGGAAAAAAAAGAAAATGAAAAGAAAAAAAGAAAAAAATATGATGACAAGAAGATTTTTTTCCCCTCTTATGCAGCATATGAATATCTGTCAGGAAAGCAGAGAGGATAGTTTTAGTACTGTCATTGTTTTATCTGACAATGGTGCCACTGTAGATAGTGAAACCAATGATGTCATCAAAGCAGCTGGAGAAAAGTTTGAGATGGCTCATCAGATCTTCTAAATTTATATCCACACATGAAGCCCTGTAGCTACTTCATGTTCTGTTCTGCTTTTGGGGACGTAGTACTGCTTCTTACTGAAATAGGAGATATTTTAGTTGTAAAGTGCTGCTATGTTTAACTTATTTGTCCTTCAGTTATGCAAAGCCTTTAATTCAGCTGCA